AATATATACCAATAACAAAAGATGAATACAAGTCATGCGTATACATTTTTTGGAACTCCAGTAGATATAGATAGATATAGATATAGATATAGATGATATAGATATAGATACAAATACAGGTACAGATACAGATATAGATAGATACAGAGATAGATATAGATGATATAGATATAAAGATATAGATATAGATATAGATATAGATGTAGATCTGCTAATCAGAGCAAGGCAGTACCTTGCCTGTTTTCCTCAGTTGCTTCCGTTCTTCCACTCTGGTGAGGTGGTTCACAGCTGCATATTCAATGACTGACAGGAACACAAAGAGGGAGCTGACCCACAGGTACACATCCATGGCCTTGATGTAGGACACCTGGGGCATAGAGGCAGTCATGCCAGAGATGATGGTGAACATGGTCAGCACCGTGGTGATTCCTGCCATTTGAGAACAGTGACATTCTCAGTGACATAACCATTCAGTTCCAGGATCTGTTGCTGGATTACACCAGGGGACACATTTTCAGAACAATATCAATGTGGTGATCATAAGATGGTGGGCGGGAAGGGATCTGACTGAGAACCTAGCTCACATCTTGAGCCTAAGCAAGAATCTCTCCTTGGATTTCTCTTTCTACCTCTTTTTCTTGCCCTCCATCCATTGTCCATAACGTTTCCTTCCCTCCGTCTTAAACATAATTCACAGTCAGGCGTGTCTTTCAGGACTCAGTAATTCTTGCCCTCAGGCTGTCCTCTTCTAACCCCCCCAGAAAGGTAAAAGTATATTCAATTTTAAACTATTCTCCAGGATAGAAATCCCAAAATCATTTTCACTACCCTTCCCATCATTTCACAACTTTTACTGTTAAGAAATTGTCTTAGTGTCTCCTTTAATCTGTCATTCGTTGAGGAGTGATCTTTATAGCATTAACGATTGCTGTTCTCCATATTTTTCTTTCATGTAGCATACTTACAAGCCATCATTATTGTTATACTTTGTCCCCTGTTACTGAAACTGCAGTTCAACTGAGATCCACAATGGAAGTGTGCCAGTGGATGCTCGGTTCAGTGTAGATATTTACTAAGCAACTGCTCAACGCCAGTTACTTCCCCTCCCCGCTCCCTTCCCTCTCTTCTTGTCTTCCATTCCCTCCCTTTTTCTTCCCTTCCTTTCTTCTCTCTTCCCACTGCCTTCCCTTTCCCTTTCCTTTATCTTCTCTTTTTTTCCCTTCTTTGTTCTCTGGCTTGAGCATCAGCAGTAAAAGATTAGCGTTCTGGGGGACCATAGAGAAAGAAGTGACTCTGAGATTTCCTTAATAAAATGTTGGCCTTTGGGAGGGCTATTCTGTGTCTACACTGATTTCTCAGAGGGATACTGCTAAAGTACTGCCTGGAGAGGGAGTACAGTATTGTAAATATTTGAAAGGTACACTGGCTGGCATGGTTTTATTTCTTAACTTCTCACCAGGGAGGTACAAATGGAATCCTTAATGATTTTTATATGTTGTGAGGACATTTTAATGTCAACAAACAGAGTCCTGAACAGCAGGAAGAGCACCGTGATTTACTCCTAAATGTACAGACACAGCATGTAGACAGCTTTCACCAACACATTTCTACCCTTTCCACAATGACTGTGAGGCTCTCATCGGAGGGAGGCCCATATCAAAGACGATGACAACTCTACAGAGCTATTCAATATCAAATGAATTTTTTCCAGTTGTGTGATCAATACCAACACAATCTGGCAATTTGACAGTCACCATAGGAGGGCCCAGCCTGAATCTCACCTTCACACTGATGTGAACTACAGATAAAGAAAGCTAAATGCTGTTCTAGCTCTTACCATTAAATGCAGGTCCCTGTCTCATTGAGTTTCAGGTTTCCCTAATGCAGGGAAGCGGTAATACCCACCATTTGCATATCGGTGGATGTTGTTTGCATTCCTTGCTACATAAACATGGAGATGTGAAATTTTTATTAACGTTACAGATGTTTGTGTGGCTCAGGTCAAGATTATTCAATAAAAATTGCTTCCCTTTATGGAATGCTTCCTCACCACAAACCTAGATAAATATTATTAGCCAGATGTTGCAGAAAAGAAATATGTGCTGAGAGTGGCTAAGTAATTAGCCTGAGTTTTGTCAGGAGCAGGATTGAAGCCTTTCTCTCTGAGTGTAGAACCCATATGTTTTACATGCAAACATGCTGCATGCATTCTGGACCCATAAAGGGAATTTCCTTTTATTTTTAAGATTATAAACCAATCTCTATAGATGGAGCATCTCTGAGACAAGATGCTATAAAATTGAGCATAAAATTATCTGAAGTAGCATGAAGATACTTTGTGCTTTTCAACAGGCCACACGTCTTATCCTCTTCTGAATTTCACTGGTAAAACTGAATGCATCCTAGACTCATGTTCCTATTTAGTTGCTTACCTCATTAGTTGGAAATTTTTAAATGTCTTCTCTTACTTATTTTCTATGCCATGGAAGACAGACCTTGATTCTTTTTTCAATGGACAGTAACATGGAGCTTAATGGACAAAATAAAGGTTTAGAAAGAAGACACTAGTTTACAAACTAGACAGGCCTTGTCATGTATTTTAAATTGATGACTTTTGGACCAATAAAAGGAAACTGCATTATCTATGTTTGCCAGAGAGCAATAAATAATCAGTATTTTCTTTAAAAGGGTGCTTAGTCCAATTAATTTACTATAGCTTTATTTATTTTGAAACCAGCATACTAGATTTTTCTTTTTTTAAATGGACAATAAGAAAGAAATAGAGAGTGGGAGGGTGAATTGTTAAGCACCATGAGAAAAGGACGAGGAAACTGAAATATTAATATATAGTCCTCAAGCAGTAGAACTTGGGGTCAATAAGTATTACAGCTACCTTAAACACATTATGTCTTTTTAACATTCTGGTTGATGAAATGAGAATATACACATACAAAGTGTACATACATGCGNCTCTTCCCGGGTGAGGCAGATCAGTCGCCGGCTTCTGGACGGCCACTCACTGCAGCTGCTGACCGCTCACGCTGGCTGCTGGCTACACACGGTAGCCCATACTTTCCTGGCCTTTCTCACACATTTCTGGCCTTTCTCATTATCCCTCAATCACTCCATCCTAGGGATCTGGGAGAAGGAACCGGCCTGTGTGGCTCAGTCCCTTTTGAGCCCTCACTTTGAGATCCAAGTTGGTGTCCAGGTTTGATCTCTGAAATAAAGTACCAGGAGACTGTCTTTACAGGGAGAGTCCTGCATTGTGTAGCTTAGCCAGTGACCACGAGAATGAGTACTTACAATTCAGTGATGAAGTATTAATGAGCCCTCCTGCTCACAGACCTAACTAAGCCACTGCCTCCAAACTGCTTTATCAGTAACAAAGGTGACATCATCATATCCATCTGGGTGGCTCACACATCTCTCTTCTCTCTAAAACTGGCTTCCCAGTTCTGAGGAGAGAGGTATCATTGATTAGCCCCAAACCCACTGTCAAATCCTTCTACACTGCCCCTCACTAGGGCATCCTATTCCTTGAAAGACCTCTCATCTCAGACAGCCTGTTCCACTATCCCTATTAAAACTCCTATTCCTTTGTAAGATAGGACAAGGGTCTCAAGGTATGGGTGATCCTTACTAAATGCTATTCTTGCTGAATGTTAAAACGCAGCACAGTGCTTTGCAGACACAGCTGTAAATAGGATGCGCTTGACAGGAACCCAACCCAGAAGTACTGCCAACTGCAAAGAAGAAATCAACAAACAATTGACCAAATTGTGTATATAAGCAATGGCGAAGCCTCCCTTTTGGGAGACGAAGCTTTGGTTGTGAATCCCCTGTCTCCTTTACTTGCTGCAAGTAAATAAAACTAGCTAATGACAGCTACGTCTCGTTTTTGAATAGAACATGCCAAGTGGTGAACACCTTGAGTTTGATATGCCCAGGGTACTAATCACAGTAAGAACTAAACATTTGTGTAGCACTTTATAGTTTGCAAAAGTTTCAGGCTTGTTTATCATATCATTTGAACCTCACAGGTAAAGAGGTAAAGAGGGAAGAATTCCACAATTTGGAAAATGCAGAATGAAGTTTAGGAGACATAGCCTGGAAACGAAGCTAGGAAGTGGTAGAGTTAGGTTTGTCATCACTTCTCTGACACCAAATCTTGTGTTTTTTCATTTGTCTCACAACTATATGAATGTCAGGTAGGATATTCCTTTGAGGTAATTGCACCTTTAAGGGAGGATGCTTAAAATGGTGGTTTTCAGAAGCTGAAGGAGGGGGGAAATGGGGAAGTTTAATGGGTACAGAATATCAGTTTTGCAAGATGAAAACTTTCTGGAGATTGGTCGCACAACAATGTGAATATACTTAACAGACTTATCTGTACACTTAAAAATGGTTAAGATGGTAAGTTCTATATTAAAAACAAAAAATAGTTTAAAAAATGGATGATGCTAATTAACCCAAAAGAATCTTTTCTTAGAGGTACAGAGGAACAGAAAGGTTGTGTACAACCCCATGAAGTTAAAAAAAAAAATCCAGGTAGGATTAACATATATGTTGTGTGGCAGGTGGGGACAAGAAGACGTATTTTAAAGTCAAAGGACTAGATAGAGGTGGGTCAAAATTACTTCAGTACCTTTTCCCGAGGTAAGCCACTCCCACATAAAAGCAAAACAAAACAAGAACAACAAATTCCTTCCCTTGTGACATACTTTTCTCTGTCACCTTTCATTACACAGATGATCTAAATCATTACTATCCACAGTTGTGAGCAATAGATCAGCAGCATTTGGGGCTCATTAGAAATGCAGACTCAGGTCCCACCCCCAACCTACTGAATGAGAACTGACCAGTCCTAGGTGATGTGTATACATGCATTACTGCATACTTGTCTATACGCTTCTGGTTTTCTCACACCTGCATAGCAGTCATTATGGGGTATGTATGTGACAGGGACATACTGTCACATGCTGTCAACAAAAGAAATTGAAGCATCTGCAATTTATTGGAGCAAAAGCAGCTCCTATGACAGTTTTGACTCAAAAATATAAAATAAAAGAATGAAGTTAGCATTGTAAGAGAACTGAATTGCCATTGCAGCTCTGTTGGCTGTGAATCTTTAGGCAAATCACTTTATTTCTCTAAAACTCTGCCTCTTCATTTTAAAAATAGAGATAATCTCTGCAAGACCTATATGAAGGTTCAGTTGGAGAAGAAGATATAAAAACATTCTGAAAAGTATGAGATGCTCTCACTAAAAGTATAAAAATATAAAATAATGTAATATTTTGGGTATATATAAATGCTCACATAAAAATTTCTTAAGCCAATGTGAATATATTACATTAAAATTATTTATATATCTATATCTATGCCTATCTACACACACACACACACACACACACACACAC